TCAAAAAGACTTGAGGCTGTAATTGGTGCTAAGGGGCCTTCAACAAAGTATTGAGCAAAGGCTGTGAATACTTTATTTACATGTGATTTTTGTTTTATTTTTAATAAATTTGCAAAGATTTCAAACTACTTTTTTCATGTTGTCATTACGGGGTATCGTTTGTAGAGTTTTTAGGACAATAATGAATTTAATCCATGTTGGAATAAGGCTGTAACCTAACAATGTGGGAAAAGGTAAGCGCTGTGAATGCTTTCTGGATGCACTGTATCCAGTATTTGGTGTTGCAGTTTAAGAAAGGCTATTTTCCGCAATAAATAATTGACTTTTTAAAATTTCAGACTTTGGGGCCAGATGATTATTATTGCAATAGTTAATAGTTGACTGGGTGGGTATTTTAGCCATTTAAGTCATAAATCACATTACATCTCTAACAAAGAGGAAACAGCCCACAGAGAAAAAGTGAAATGTATTTCACTTATATACTGTCCTTTTTTTATGAGAGAACTCAATAAAGGAAAGTAAATATTGCACACCTCAGAAGAAACAGCTGGTTTCATAGAGTACAGAATGTTCAGATTCACAGGGCGGAACATTTTTGGGAATATCAGATATGCTGTGAATTGAAATGTCATGTCATTTCTCATCATGGTATGCCAACATGCTTAGCTGATTTAGTCCCATGGGTAAAGACTGTGCTGTCCTCCTGCTGACAGGCAGCTGTTTTGATGACGGATGCTGCACAGAGCTTGGAATCTATGTGGACTGAATGGATCAAACTAGTTGCTCCTGCTGGAGTTAACTTTGGGACTGGTTTATTTTCAGGACTGAACAGATTAGAGAGTGAATTAAGCGTGTTCTGGAGACCCCAGGGATCGTTTATATGTTTCCCACTTTGCAAGACTGTGTCTTCTTTATTTTGCCGTGCAGTGCAATATGTGTCTGGAACATCAGGTGGTGCCGATGAGCCTGATGTGGAGCACAAGTTTGAAAGATCAAGGTATTGGTTTCGATAAGGAGGGGGAGATGGGACCACCTCAGGTTCTGGTTTGCGTTGTGGAGATGGAGCCTCCGGTCTCAGTCTAGTGTAAATGAGGTTATCTTCTTTGTTACTAGTAACTAAAGAATATACCTTTCCCTCCAAGTTGTGCTCGACGATAAAATAACCTTAACATACGCGCTGCTTACTTCTAGTGAAGTCCCAATTTGAAGCTAGTAGTCACTGAAACCCACCATCAGTCCTTTAAGTAGTAGGCTACTAGTTATAGCCCAGAAATGAGCTGCACTAGCCAGGCGAGTGAGAGAGCTGAGCTGTGCACAGACATCAGAAATTCTTCAACACAAGGAGCTACAAATATACAACATACACAAACAGCAAAACAATTAATCAGTTTGTATTCATTTCATCATTATTGTCATGGTGACTGCTAGGCTATAGAGCACTACAGTGACTACATCAAAAGAGGTGCAGACTTGTTCCTGACTGATTTTCCCATTTGTTGTGTTCCATAAGTCGCTCTGTGAATTTATTATAAATACCGGACATGCACATTGGAGGGTAAGAGCATTTTGGTCCACTCCTCCATACAGGTCTTCTCCAGATCTTTCAGGGTTTGGGGCTGTCGTTGGGCAACACAGAGTTTCAGCTTTCTGCATAGATTTTCTATTGGGTTCAGGTTTGGAGACTGGCTAGGCCACTCCAGGACCTTGAAATGCTTCTTACAGAGCCACTCCTTAGTTGCCCTGGCTGTGTGTTTGGGGTCATTGTCATGCTGGAAGACCCAGCATCTTCAATGCTCCTACTGAGGGAAGGAGGTTGTTGCCCAAAATCTCGTGATACATGGCCCCATCCATCCTCTCATTAATACGGTGCAGTCGTCATGTCCCCTTTGCAGAAAAGCACCCCCAAAGCATGATGTTTCCACCCCCATGCTTCACGGTTGGGATGGTGTTCTTGGGATTGTACTCATCCTTCTTCTTCCTCCAAACACGGCGAGTGGAGTTTATACCAAAAAGTTCTATTTTGGTCTCATCTGACCACATGACCTTCTCCCATGCCTCCTCTGGATCATCCAGATGGTCTTTGGCAAACTTCAGACGGGCCTGGACATGTGCTGGCTTGAGCAGAG